TGCACCCATGAGGGAAACCTGGATGAATCTCCTGGTTTCTGGCTTTCTCCTGACCCAGATCCGGTCACTGAGACCATTTGCATAGGGAACCAGCAGATGGACGCTCTCTCTCTGTCTTTCCCTCTCTCTCTCTGTCTTCCCTCTCTCTCTGTCAATCTGCCTTTCAAACAAGTAAAAGAAATCTTTTATAGAACCTCATTGTCATGAGATTTAGTGGGTAGTATAGTATGAACTTGTGAGGTGCCTTTCCTTTAGCATGTAAATGTGTGTATATGTCATGTATGGAATGTGTATGTATATATATATTTTTTTATTGATTAGTTCTGTCATCTGAAGGAATGACCCTGATAGCAGCAAAACATATTACTGGTACTTAGATTTGTCCTTGGCCAGCTCCATGGCTCACTAGGCTAATCCTCCACCTGCCGTGTGGGAATCCCGGGTTCTAGTTCCAGTCGGAGCACCGGATTCTGTCCCAGCTGCCCTTCTTCCAGGCCAGCTCTCTGCTGTGGCCAGGGAGTGCAGTGGAGGATGGCCCAAGTGCTTGGGCCCTGCACCCCATGGGAGACCAGGATAAGTACCTGGCTCCTGCCTTCGGATCAGCGCGGTGCGCCGGCCGCAGCGCACCAGCCGTAATGGCCATTTGTGGGGTGAACCAACGGCAAAAGGAAGACCTTTCTCTCTGTCTCTCTCTCTCACTGTCCACTCTGCCTGTCCAAAAAAAAAAAAAAAAAAAGATTGTGGCCTTGAAACATCATTTCTCCCCGCTCAAAGAAATCAGAACATTTTGTAAATGGGTCTGTTCCAGGTTGGGACAGGAAACATGTAATGCGATCCCAGGAAATTTTGTCACATAAAACGGAAAGAAAGCTCTCCAAAACTACTATGACCACATCAAAAGAACTAATGGGCAACTTGGAGAGGCTTCTACTGACCAAATATGAGAATATTTGAGCTTCAGTAAAGGATAATAATCATAATGTATTTTCGTATCAAAAAGATTTTTTTTTAAACATACGTATTTGAGAAGAAAGAGAGAGCTTCCATCTGCTGGCTCACTCCTCAAATGCCCGCGGCGGCTAAGGCTGGGTCTTGCCAAAGGTGGGAACAAGGAACTCAGTCCAAGACTCCCACAGGGGTGGTAGAAGCCCAAGTACTCAAGTCATCGCTGCTGCCCCCGGCCTCTGCACCACCAGGAACCCAGAGCCAGGAGCTGGAGCTGGGGGCTGAGTCCAAGTATCTCATTGTGTGGGAAACAGCCATCTTAACTGCTAGATAAAATGCCTGCTCACTCATAAAATGTAACACATCAGATCATGACGATATTAGTAAAACAACATTAATACTTATAATAGGAAGAAGTAGTACTCATTTTTACAGGATGATAAAAAATTACTAAATTATTTTAAAACTGGTAAATAAAGGCAAAGATTCAAGCAGTATTTATCCTGCCTTTTATACATGAAAGTTACCATTGGGATACTAAATAGAAGAGAAATTTTATCCTTTTAGATAAAATGTTCTAATATGTTAAAGTGGTACAACATGGATGTATCTTGAAAATATTATGTTATAGGGGCTGGTGTGGTGCAGTTGGTTAACACCCTGGCCTGAAGCGCTGGCATCCCATATGGGCACCAGTTCTAGTCCTGGCTGCTCCTCTTCTGATCCAGCTCTCTGCTATGGCCCGAGAAAGCAGTAGAAGGTGGCCCAAGTGCTTGGGCCTCTGCACCCACATGGGAGACCCGGAATAAGTTCCTGGCTCCTGGCTTTGGATCGCTGCAACTCTGGCCATTGCGGCCAATTGGGGACTGAACCATTGGATGGAAGACATTTCTCTCTGTCTCTATCTCTCACTGTCTGTAACTCTACCTCTCAAATAAATAATAAATCTTTTAAGAAAATATTATGTTACATAAAATAAGTCAGTCACAAAAAGACAAATGCAATGTGATTCCAGTTACATGAGGTATCTAGAGACACCAAGCTCATCATAATGGAGAGTAGAATGATGGCTTCCAAGAGCTGGGCAGAGAGAGGAGGGGGACATTAGTGTTTAACAGGTACAGTTTCAGCTTTGCAAGGTGAGGGTTCTGGAGATGGATAGTGTTAATGGTTGCCTAACAATCTGAATGTAGTTAGCACCACTGAACTGTGTACTTAAAATGGGTTAAGATAGGAAATTTTATGTTATATGTATTTTACCACAATAAAAATTATACAAAAATTTATAGAATTAGAATATCACCCTTTCAACTTCCAGTTAATTAATAGTTTTAGGAATTATGTTAAGTTCATAGAAAGAGAGATAAGGAGGTGTTATATGCCTCCTGATTTTAAAATAAAAGAGAATGTATAGTCACACAGAAGAAATCACATGAATTTGGTCCAGATTCCAACTTACCAAAAATACAAAGCACCGAGGAATATTACACTGAACCATGCACACATGATCAACAAAATTCAGACTATGAGACTCTCTGCATGTTTGATTACCTAAATTTATAACTAATAAATTATAGGGAGTCCTGTATCATTTTTTATTTAAAGATTTATTTATTTTTTGAAAGACAGAGTTATAGACAGGCAGTGTGTGTGTGTGGGAGAGAGAGAGAGAGAGATCCTCCATCCGCTGGTTCACTCCCCAGGTGGCTGCAAAGGCTGGTGCTGCGCCAATCCAAAGCCAGAGCCAGGAGCTTTCTCTGGGTCTCCCACATGAGTGCAGGGGTCCAAGGACTTGGGCCATTTTCCACTGCCTTCCCAGGCCTCAGCAGAGAGCTGGATCCAAAGTGGAGCAGCTGGGATTTGAACCGGCAGCCACATGGGCTGTTGGTTCTGCAGACGGCAGCCTCTTCCACCACTCTGCAGTGCTGGCCCCTAAAGTGTTCTTAATTTGCAAGGAAATGAATGGTATGAATTATCTGATTATTAACATAGAAGATATTGCAATTGGGTTGGGTATGAAGAGACTATGGGGATACCTGGAAAAATTCTATTTCTTGACCTATATGGTGATTTCTAGAGAGTTTGTCTTACATAATTCACTAAGATATGTGTGTGGGGGTGTGGTAGTAGTGGTTTTCCATTTTATATGTATTTTAATTTATCATCAATGCTTGAAAAAATGGACTAAAATATCTTTAAGCTTCTATAGTTTCAGATTTTACATTTCTCTGATATATTGTTTGAATAGAAATCAAGTTTCCTGGAATAATTATCTTACTGTCAAAAATTTGATGATAAGTTTATATTACTCTTAGTATTTGACAAGGAAATTAACCTGGGGTGATATAGTCAGGCACACAAAAAAGCTTTTTTTCTCATACATAAAATATCAAAGACTGAAAACTTACATTTTTCATAGGGAAAGAGTATCAGGAAATAAGATCCATGAAACTTGCTGGGGTGGGGGGATGATTTTTTTTTTTTTTTTTTGACAGGCGGAGTAGACAGTGAGAGAGAGAGACAGAGAGAAAGGTCTTCCTTTGCCGTTGGTTCACCCTCCAATGGCCACTGCGGCCGGCACACCGCGCTGATCCGAAGCCGGGGGCCAGGTGCTTCTTCTGGTCTCCCATGTGGGTGCAGGGCCCAAGCAACTAGGCCATCCTCCACTGCACTCCTGGGCCATGCAGAGAGCTGGACTGGAAGAGGAGCAACCGGGACAGAATCTGGAGCCCCAACCGGGACTAGAACCCGGGGTGCTGGCACCGCAGGACGAGTATTAGCCTAGTGAGCCGAGGCGCCGGCCAAGGGGGATGATTTATCTTTCTAAACTAAATAAGCTTATGGTTAAACTAAAAATAATCATTCTTACTTCTTTTTTTCTTCCTTATAAAAATTCCACCATGTTCAACTAGGTCAGTTTGCAGAAAACAGCAGTGATACTAATGGCCGCAAGTAAGAAAGACACCTAAGCTCTGAGGTGTGTTGGAAACAAACAGAAGCAGCAGTTCAGGGTGGAAAGCAACTTGAGGTATTCTGCAATTTGGAAAAGAAAATTTCCTGCATGTTTCCAGCCATAAGAAAACAAGCATGATTGTGTGATAAAAGATCAAATTTGTCTTTTCGAATCAGTCAAATAAAACCACATTTAATAAATATATATTAACTAAAAATAATCCTACAAATTTTCTGAAAATTGCATCGGATTTAGAAAACATACCTCTTCGTTTTTTTTTTCATTTCCTACATAGTACAAGGGCACTTCAGAAAGCTCATGGAAAACAGAATTAAACAGTAAATTTATTTTGTTCCAAAAATTTCCCTATTTCTTCATTCATTTATCCATTTGCAAGGCAGAGAGGCAGGGGATGAGACAAAGAAAGAAAGAGGGGAATCTTTCATCCACTGGTTCACTCCTCAAATAGCTGCAACATCCAGGTCTGGGCTAGGCCACAACTGGGAGTCAGGAACTCTATTCTGGTCTCCCACATAGACGGCAGGTGCCGAAGTACTTGGGCCATCTTCTGTTGTTTTCACAGTGTGTTAGCAGGAAACTGGATCATAAACAAAATAGCATGGGCAAGAACCAGCACTTCAATATGGGATACTGGTGTTGTAGGAGTTGACTTAACCCACCGTGCCACAATGCTTTAACTCCATGCACAGTTTTCCCATAATATACATTTCCACTTTAGAAGATCTCTACTATGCAAGGATTTCCTTTTTTTTTTTTTTTATCGCACCAAAATAAACTTAGCTTTCAATTCTATTTCTCCTAGAATTTTCTTGTACTTTCCAGATGACCTGTGGAAATTCCATTTGCTTTTTAAGACTACTGGTGCACCATTTAGTAAAGGTTATTTTTCATACACTTAAAAAGAAAATGCCTCATGGTCAAAGAGAGGATTTAACATTTAAAGAACTTTAGTCAACGAACAGAGTTATCATGGATTCATTTATTTCCTTAGTCTGTTCAAAGAACAGATTCTGGCCAACCAAGATACAGTTGATTCTGTTTTTGATAAGGATGCAAGATAATCATTTAATCATTTACTTACCCTCCATGATGGTCAAAGGATCTTCCACCTTGGGGCGCAGGATATTAGGACCAAAGACAGTTGCCAAGTTCTGCACACTCATTTTGTTAACTCCAGAATACGACTGGACTTCATCCAAGAACCTATTGAGTACAAAAATAAGATTGAAAGACAACTGTATTAAACTTGTCAGTGGAAGAAACTGGATCACTGGGGAATTTATGAACTGAAGTATGTCCAAAGATGACTGTGGAGATAAAATTATTTGGAAATTCAAGCATTTCTCACTCAAATATGGAGAAAGTAAATTGGAAATGATGAAGCTTCAAACTTAAGGGATGAGATCAAATATCTGCCCCGGCCTGGCCTGGCTTGACTTTCTGTGTTAATTAAAGGAATCATTGTATTTGGACATTGCTAATATGGACTTGACAGTCAATAGTACGGATTTCCCTCCAGTCTTTCAGTATTCCCTTTGTATGAATACTCAGTTAGAGAACGGTATATGAGACCATGTGGTATAAGCCCTCAAATTGGAGAAGGGGGAATCAACTCTCAAATGAGAAATGTGTAAGCTACAAATTTATAGTCTATTAAAAAATAAGATCAACAGTGGAAAGTACATTAGTTCTATTGATATGAAAAAGTTGTAAGCACAAATTATTTCCATTTATTAGTTGCTAAAAAATAAGAGGCACACAACAATGCTTTTAGTAGAAAGGATTTTTATTTTTTTTAGTAAGCCTTCTCCTTGTTTTTTTATTTTATTTTATTTATTTGTTTTTTAAATTTGACAGGTAGAGTTATAGACAGTGAGAGAAAGAGACAGAGAGAAAGGTCTTCCTTCCATTGGTTCATCCCCCAAATGGCCGCTACGACCAGCACTGCGCCTATCTGAAGCCAGAAGCCAGGTGCCCCCTCCTGGTCTCCCATGCGGGTGCAGGTGCCCAAGCACTTGGGCCATCCTCCATTGCCCTCCCGGGCCACAGCAGAGAGCTGGACTGGAAGAGGAGCAACTGGGACTAGAACCCAGCGCCCATATGGGATGCCGGCGCGGTAGGCAGATGATTAACCAAGTGAGCCAGGATGCCGGCCCCTTCTCCTTGTTTTTTATCCACCAACTTGTCTTCACTTGTATAAGAGCTTTTATTGTTTCATAGCTTGCTTATTGTACTGATGAGATAAGGAGGACATTACAAAAAATAAAAATACCACTCAGGTAGCACTATTATGTATGATTTATGGTGCTCACGTGTTAAATTCTCAAAAGTAAGTACTATTATTGTTTCTATTTTACAGATGAGAGACACGAAGTATCAGAGGGTTAAGAATCTTCTCCAAAAACAGAGAGTCAGTAAGTGGCAAGGCTGCAATATGACTCCAGGCAGTCCAAGTCCAAATCCAAATCCATGCTCTGAACTGCTACACCATGACTGTAAAAGGGTGCCTATTCTCACAGGTTCATCATTATTACATGAGCAGACTTCAAAAGATTCATTGAGAATGAAATTCAAAAAGGTAAATTTATTTAAAAGAGTTATTTTATTTATTTGAAAGGCGGAGTTAGAGAGAGGGAGTTCCTGTAGGTTCACTCCCCAAATGACTACAACAGCCATTGCTGGATTAGGCTGAAGCCAGGATCCAGGAGCTTCATTCAGGTCTCCCACATGGGGGTAGGGGCCCATGAGCTTGGGTCATCTTCCACTGCTCTCTCAGGTGCATTAACAGGGAGCTGTATCAGAAGTGGAGCAGCAGGCACTTGAACCAGCATTCATAAGGGATGCTGGTGCTGCAGGGAGTGACTTAACCCACGGTGCCACAATGCCAGCTCCAATAAATTTATTTTGGTGCAAAAAATTTTTTTGGAATTCATTGAGGTTTTTTTCATCATATGCATTTTCCATGAACTTATTCTAGAAGCACAATCGAACAACCTAAACTACAGTAAAACTGAAAGCAAGAGTTAGTTTCATTTCTTATTTGAAATACCTGAAATTAAAAAAAAAAATCTGCTTGAATGTTTCAGGAGAAGTTAGGTTTTTCTATTGTGGAGATAGAGGTTTGCAGTATGGGTCTCAAAGCAGACTTTCTTCTCCATTATTTATGGAGAATGTAGCTTGTCTATTCTCCACCACAGTAACTTGTATTTGCTCAGAGTCCTGAGACAAAAGTCTTGCAGTAATGTCCATTCTGAGAGTGCAAACATTTCTTACCTTCTGTAATTCTGAACCATGAGGTCCTGTTGCTTCCAAACCTAACCATTACCAGACAAACTTAAGGTGGAAAGTTCTGGTTTCAATTTTGAATTGCACAGTATCTGGCACTAACTCTTTTTTTTTTTAATATTTATTTATTTGAAACTCAAAGTGACAGAGAAAGGAAGAGGGATGGATGGAGGGAGAGATGATGGATGGGGCAGGAGAGAGGTAGAAAGGAGGGAGGGAGGGAGGGAGAGAGAGATAGAAACAGAGAACAGAGAGAGACAGAGAGAGACAGGGAGAGAGAGAGAATCTTCTATTCTTTCTCCAAATGCCCACATTAACCAGCGCTGGGAAGGCTGAAGCCAGGAGCCAGGAGCTCCATTCGAGTCTCCCATGCTGGCGGGAGGAACCCAGGTACTTAGAAGCACCATCTGCCCCTTCCCAGGTTTATGAGCAGGAACTTGTATCAGAAGCTGCATAGCCAGCACTTGAACTGGTGCTTGGATAGAGGATGTGGGTGTCCCAAGTTCTGGGACTATAATGCCCTCCTCTGACACTATTCCTAAACTCCATAGTTCCTAGTCAGCTGTGTAAAATACATGGTCTCATTACCACTTCATCTATTACAAACCTGAAATACAGAGAGGATGAGAACATTGTATGAAGACACATTAAATGTCAACGGTAGAATCTAGACGCCCATGCATGTCCTTCTCATGACAAGGGACATGCTCTTTCTTCTAATACCACTCCCTACATGGTACAAATAACTTTGTGGCAAATTCAAAGTAACGTATATATAATACAGAGAGGAGGAAAGACCTCAAAAACATCAAATCAGAAAATTAGTCAATCTTAATCGTTCAAGGAAACTTTTGTGATCACTTTATCAAGCTTTTTAATTTTCCGGAAGTTAACTCAGAGCAACTAAGTGATTGTATTTATTGTCAAGCATCAGGAGAAATACAGTGTTTTTACCTACTTTGGGACAATTCTTACCGGCAAATGTACTTGAGGAGGTTGTAATTGACCACTGGCAAACTCTTCACCTGCTTCGCTAACTCCTTAACACCCTGAGAACAAAGAACAGAAGAGAATAAATGTTCTCTCTCTTCATGTTGGCCTTGAAATTAAAGCAAGTGGGAAATGGCCATACTGCTTTTTTAAAAACATGAATTTCACATATTATCAATGAAAGATACTGTTATGAAAATTTGCCATCACCATGGTGAACGTTACAGAAATATTTTCAAAGATTTTCTATGACCTCCAAAAGTATTACTATTTATGGAGAAACATATTTAAGGAAAACTCTTTCAACATCTTAAACATTTGCTCACAAGTGACTGAAAAGGGAAGATGGCCTCAGTTATGTCAAGGTTACTTTTAAAGAAAAAAGTCTCAAAGCAGAGGGTCCTTTTCATTTACAACATTCCCAGAACATAGACAAACATAGACTAGCGATAGGACGGATCATGTCAAGGATACATTTGTAGGGAGGGTTGGAAAGCCTAATTGTCCCGGAAATTTCACAAGACATTAATTTCTTTTACTCTTTTGATTGCCTGTCTCCCTCCAAACATAAATGGGCCCAGAAAAACCAATCGATAATGTAATCTGATTTTCTTCTGCTCCCTGTAGTATGTTTATGAAACTTATGATCTCTATCAAAACTACTGCTGTTATAGTGCAAAAGCAGTCATGGATAATACTACATGACAGAGTAAATCTGCATCCACAAAAATATGTAGCTGTTTCTGAGAACAGTGCCAAGAAAATTCAATGGGAGAAAGAATAGCGCTTTGAACAACTGGTCTGGGGCAACTGGAAAGCCTCGTGCAAAAGAACTGGGTAGATCTCTTTCCTTACACTGTACATAAAAAATGAACTGAAAGAGGGTCATACACATAAATTAACAGCTGAGGATCTAAAAGTCTTAGGAGAAAATACAGGAATAAGTTTGTGTGACCTGTTCACAAAGACTTTCTAAATATGATACAAAAAGCACAACTGAAAAAAAGAAAACAGATACATTGGGCTTCATCAAAATTGAAGACTTTGTTGTACTTCAAAGATACCATCAAAGAAATGAATAGACGAGCCACACGATGGGAAAAATATTTGCCAAGTCATCAATCTGATAAGGGCTTCTATCTAAACTCATAAGCTCATTAATAAAAGATAAATATATTCAGTCCTCCATATCTGTGGAACCAACCAACCAAGTATTGAAAATATTTTTAAAAGATTGTTTCTGTTCTAAACAAGCAGATACTCTTTTTATCATGTCATTTTTCTCTAAGCTTGATAGCATAACCAGTGTTTACACAGCGTTTACACTGTATTAATCTAGAGAAGATTTAAAGTACACGGGAAGATGTACGTAAGATGTGCACAGTATATAAGGGACTTGAACATCTCCAGATTCTGGTTTTGGGGGGATTCTAGAACCAACCTCTGTTAGGGACTTGGGATGACTTCAGCATAAATAAAAATGGAGAAATGATACTCCCAACAAAAATATATGAGGAGCAAAAATGCACATGAAAAAAATGTTCAACACCATTAGCCATCGGAGCAATTCCCCATTCCAAGCTTGACGAGGAGATATCATTTTGCACACGTGAGGATGGCTGTGTTAAGTAAGAGAAATTGCAAGCAAAATGGCAAGACATGGGAAAATTCGAACCTGTTCACACTGATGGTAGAAATTTAAATTTGCGGTGTGTCCTTAGGAAGCACAAGGTTACAGATAGGCCCGCGATTCTACGAAGGGACATGCAACCATATGTTGGTATAATATGGATGCTCACAGAAGCATTATTCATAGTAGTTCAACGTGTAAATAAGACAAAAGTCCTTCAGTGGGTGAACATATAAATAGTAGAATGTCCTTTGGAAATAAGAAGAATTAAATACTGATATTTGGTAAAACATGGATGCACGTTCCAAACAGTGAAAAAGCCAGTTACAAGAATCCACAGGTTGAATGATCCCATTTATAGGAAATGTGCAGGACAGGCAGATCCATGGGAACAGAAAACAGAAGAGCAGTTGCTAAGACCTGGGGAAAGAGGTGAACAGGGAGAGGTTCCAGGTTTCTTTGAGCGTAAAACACATTTTGTAAATATTTTAAAACTAGAGTTTAGTGATATTTGCACAAGTCTAAGAATATACTGGGTAGTGAGTTGCATACTTTAAATGAGTGATGCATAGTATAGAAATGGTATACCAATAAAGTTTTTTTTTTTTTTTTAAAGGCAGGCAGTGGGTATGACTTAGTCCACAGCTATTGCTTGAGGTGATTTAGTGGGCACACACGGAAAAGCGGACTAGGAAACAGTCTCCGCATTTTCATGGAATGTGTGGGCTGTGTGGCATCACAGTCAACCACTTGGTGAGCAAAAATGGTGAGGAGTGCTGATATCATTACTCAGCCACATTCATTTCAGAGAAGGAAATTAAAAAAAAATAGTACTTGAACTGTGTGTGTTACATCTACATGTGTGTGATGTCGATACACAGCACCGCAGGAAACAAACTGAGGCTAGGACAAAGGGACAAGTACAAAACAAACACTGAGAACACTGACAAAAACCCTGCGCAGAACTTAATCGGAAATAAATGCATCAACGTACGGCTTCCTCGTCCTTGCTGAGCAGCTTGGCACATGACAAGAAGTCGTCATACTTTGCGTAAGGGATAACAGGTTCTGGGAGTTCCCGCAGGTACAGTTTAAGGAGGGATGCCACGGTGTGCACGTCCGTGCTGCTGTGGAGACACAAGTGCGGAGACATTCTTAGCAGTGACCTTTACCCCACTTGGCTTCTGCTCCACCACATGTAAGTCAGCCGGTCAGGGTGATTCAAGTTGGCACTTGAATCAATGGAGTGGGCATTTACGCGGGGGCTGCTGGGGGCCATCTCTGGTGGGGAAGACTGGACATCGCCGGTCACTCAGGATCCTTCGTGTGGTCTGAAACGACCTGAAAGCTCAACCATTGTTCTCTTGGGTACAGTACGCAAAAGGAACAATTTTTGAAAACAAGAATGTATCAGACTTTAAATAAAATATAATACAATTTATAAACATTATCCAACCCATGTGGGTGTATTTAACATCAAAAGTAATTGATTCTGAGTTCTTGCTTCATCTCTCAAAATATTGAACTCATGTTGGGAAGGCATTGGTGATTGGTTATGGATACTGGAAGATTACTATAACATGTTGTAACTTTTAAAATTAAATATTTATTTTATTTATTTAAAAGGCAGAGGAATAGAGAGAGGGACAGAGAGGGAGAGAGAAGAGATAGGCAGACAGACAGACAGACAGAGAAAGAGAGTGATCTTCCATTCCTTGTTCACTCCCCAAATGGCCACAATAGTCAGAACTGGACCAAGCCAAAGGCTGGAGCCAGGAACCCCACCTGGTCTCCCACATGGATGGCAGGAGCCCCGCACTCTGACCATCTTCTGCTACTTTTTCCAGCTGTGTTCCCAGGAAGCAGGATTGGAAGCAGGGCAGCTGGAACTGGAATCAGTTCCTATATGAGATGCAGGCATCATGGGAGGCAACTTAACCACTGTACTACAAGGCCGGCCCGGATACACTGTAACTTTTTTTTAAGAAGAGCTAATTTCAAAGATGATTGATTCACAGCATAATTGCTTATCTAGTATTCTAAGAGTCAATTTTTCTATAAAGAGAAGGAAAGTGTTATGAACATAAACAATGAAAATGTGACAAGTTCTTCATATAACCTGCATGATTTATTGTTAACCCCTGCTGGATACAGGAGGGTGAGATAATTTTACTAAAATGCTAACTCATGGTTTGTCCTCTCTGTTCCTTTATTCCCTGCTGGTGGGGAGGAAGACAGGAAGAGAGTTTTTTGGAGGAACGTTTGTCTTGTGAAAGGTGTGATTGTGATTGTGTGTCTTGTGACTGTGATGAAGCAGGAAGAGGGGCAATGAGGAAGTCAGGGGTTTCAGAATCGGCCGTGCCACAGAAGTTGTCAAGCCCCAGAGGGGTGAGCCTTGAGAAGGTGGGGTTTCCTCTTCCAACGAATACTCCTACCACAATGGCGGCACAGAGGCAGAGTCCTTGCAAAACTGTATGAGCTGGGAGAGTGCACTTGTCAGACTCAGGGGTTGATTTCCTCAGGTGTTTGCTGCTCATCTACTCTGTATTGGGTATTATAGAAAATAATGGGTAGGGTCCCAGAGGATTTTTAAAAAGGTGTTTTTCTAGCCTGCTCACAGCCTACAATCTAGTGGGAGCAGGAGCTATTGAGTTGATAGTCATTCAAGTCTGTAATTACAAAGTGTGGCAATTAGTAATGAAGAAAATTATTACATGTTATCTAATATGAGGGGCCTAACCCAGGGTTTGGATACTTTTTCTGAAAAATATACTCAGGCCAACATCTGAAGACTGTATGAGGGTACTACAAAAGTTTGTGGGGAAAAAAGTTGGTGGAAAGTGAAATGAAAAGATAACTTTGGATGCAAGAAATAAAAATCACATATTTAGGATATCTTAAAAACTAAATAAGCTCACTAATTCCTAAAAATATTTTCCTCAATTTTTAATAACAGACCTAAAATAGACTCAGTGGTAAGACAAGCAAGACACCAGCTTTGTTTGTTTTACGGCAGGCAGCTCTATTTCATGCTGCTCAAGGCCACCCACGTTTCTCTGACTATATAGAAAGCCTCTGAACTTGAAGGTACCATCATTGATAATAAAGTACAGCATGGGGCAGGATATGCAGTACAACCTAATACAGAAGCAACTGCCAGATTTTGATTCCACTCCAACTGGGTTAGGTTTGTTTTGCTGCCTGCGTCAATCACAATTTCATTAAGTTACAGGTAAAAACAGAGAAGAATGTGGGAAAAGTATAATAGATAATGCAGAAGTGTATATTTTTATAAAAAATATATATCTCAATACACAAAGCATTTTATATATCATTCCTAAGTTTATGTAAATAGAACATAAGGAAGGTTAAGGAATAAATGGAATACATATGTTAGACAATAACGATCAAAAGAAAACACACACGTATTTAACAAGAATCATGTTTTGGAGTTTCACCGACGTTCATTTCCTTGATTCTCCCCAGATACACAATTTCTAAGGCAACTTCCTTGCTACTTTCCATCATCTTTTCCTCGTAGCGGAAGTGAGCCCTTTTGTGAGCTGAGGTATTGAGAACGTTTGACCACTAGATGGCGAGATTGCAAAATTAGATTTAGCGGGAAGGTGCGAAAATCGTGAGGGATGAAAGTCTGCAGATTCATTCTTCCTCTGCCAGCAATTTTCTTAGCACCGAAGCTGCAGCTGGGTTCTAAGAATAGAAATATCTGAGCTATGAATCAAGATAAGAGAGGCAGAGCGGGGTGGCCGTTTTATTCCTTCCCTGAAGTGACAGTTTGCGTTAGCTTTCTAGCATTACAGTATATGTGAACTTAGTTAATGACATAAAAATGATGAACAAATGACCAAATATATTTGCATTTTCCCCTTTAACAAAGGTTATTAAATATTTTCTTAAAGGCTAAAACTTAAAAATGTATGACTTTTTTGGGTTTTACTAAACTTTGCTTATAGAAATAGAAACTTTTTTTTTTTTTAACTGTGCTCGTTTTTGGGTTTGTCTTTTCCCATTGAATGAAAAAAAAAAAACAGCTCTGGAAAAACTTCAACATGTTTTGCCAATTCTCACTCCCTTTAAGGGGCTGCTGGCCACTCTGGCCCTGTCAGTAGGTTACCTACTGTCATGGGAAAAATACAGTTTTCTCTGAAAAATCTTGCTGTGTATCCACTCTACAAAACAACCTCCTTCAGCACCTACCTCTCCAGCCTGCCTGCTCTTATTGAGAACCCATTACTGTGCATAATAAATGTTTACTGTAATGTGTGCCCCTAGTTAATTGCACACCAACGTCATGTGTTAGTTACCACAGTACTAGAAGTAGCGCCATCCTTGCCTCAAAGGAGTGTATCTCAACCTTCCACAAAACACACTGAAGTGACTATGTTGTGGCGAGTCTCTGGAACATGGAGGATCAAATCCCTCATTGGTTAACACCACCATACACCTCAACTTCCATACACCTCAGCCCTGCACCGCAACCTGAAGAGCAGGTTCTGTCATTAGCACCCTGTGAAGCACTTCAAACAGGAAACTGCACAGATAAAGATTCCTCTTGGCGAATCACTCAGACATGAGGAGCTGTAGGGTCGTGCCCGGTTAGCAGGAGTTCAAAATCATTTGCCAGTGTAAAGTCATTCGACAGACATGAGTCTGTTTCATTCATCTGTTGGCAGAATCTGTTCAGAAATTAAGATGAAATAATCATGCTCATTCTATCTAGTGATAGAAAAGAGGCAGAGCTGGGCCGGCCCAAAGATCCCGAGTGAAAGAGCTAGCAGACCAAGAAGAGCTCTGTAGCTGCTGTCCCTTAATTGATCAACTTGTTTTGATTGATAAATTGATCAATTTGTTTTCACTTGATCTTGTACTTGAGCTTTAACTCTAAATCCTGTTTCCTATGATTGGCATAATTTTATTTTCTCATGGATCTTTTGATTATCCTCTCAAATATGAAGAATCTTCAGAAAGTTCATGGAAATGAATTTTTATACCAAAATGAACTCCTCTATTTACTCCATTTGTCTATAATTTGTTTTTTTAATTTGAGAAGGAGAGAAACAGATAGGGACTGATACACATACACAGGAAGATGTCCCATCAGCTGATTCACTCCCCAAATGCCTACAATAGCTGGGACTGGGTCAGGGTAAGAGCCTGATCTTCAACCAGATCTTCCACATGGGTGGCAGGAAACCAATTACTTGAGCCATCATCACTGCATCCCAGAGTCTACATTGGCAGGAAGCTGGTGCCCAGAGCCAAAATTGGAAATGGAGCCCAGGAACTCCAATGGCAGATGTGGGCATCTTAGGTGCCGGGTTGAACAACCACCTCTTCATGGACTTGTCAAAGTGCCCTTGCAGTTCCTGAATGCCTGTGGCATGGCATGCATTGCCTCATGTTACATGTGAGGTCAAACAGGAATATCGTAGACCCTCTGTCTCCTTTGGGCTTATGTTTCTAACGCACAACAAACTACACTTTCCCATACCATGCCTCATCTCCTCTACTTCATAGCACTTTATGTATACTTTAATGCTAAGTCTCTGCTAGGTGTGTGATGTTCAGTATGTTCTTTGCATTTTCTGGAAAATTACCTGCCCTTTTATTATCTAGGTACACTAGGGTCTCTCATTAATCTGGGCAGGGAGCGGGGAGTCTGACATGACTTCCTCCTTGCTCATCCTCTAATCTCAGTTTTCCTTCCCTAATAAACACACTTATATACAATGATAAATCCAAATGCCACCATAATTACAAATTTAATATTATACAGAGAGAACCTGGTAACATTTAAGCCTCAAAATTAGATATGGGAATTTTTCACCTAGGATACTATGCACAGAACACAATATAATCCTTTGATTTAACTGAATGGAATACATTCCCAGTGCACCCTTATAGGAAGTAATGAATGATATTGTGGATTTATCTGCAGCAAGTGCCATGATAAGATGTAAAACTCAGTCAGAATGACACAAAATGTTGTATTACGGGTTCTAGGGAGAACACACAGTAGATTGCAAACCCATAGCAGCACTACCAATCGCCACGTAAGCAACACTTGTGTACAATCGCCACATAAGCAACACTTGGCTCTGTCTAC